GGAGGTGATCAGCGCTGGCTGCGTGTGAGGAGGAGGAGGGGCAGCCCGGCCCATGCTCTTGCACATTGGTCAAGCGCATGGTGAGCTGCAGCCGGACTGACTCCATTCGCTGGGACCGTGAGCCCTGGGATCTGCACTGCACAGGTGAGTCCTGCTCCCCGCCGGCCGATTGGGTTCTTTCCTAAAGGGCCGGCTGGTGGCTGCTAGAGGAGGGAGAAACCCAGCAACAGCCTTTCTCTCCCCTCCAGCCCCCGCAGAGACGTAACGAAGGGTGGGGGGGGCAGTTGCCCCCCACCCTCCGGGTGCCACGCTGCGGGGGGGAGGCGCTGGGCGGGCTTGGATGAGCACAGGAACTGCTGGTCAGCTAAGTGCTGCTCTAGCTGAGCAGCACTCTTTAAACTGCAGCTGAAACAGCCAGCTGGGTGGGAGGAGCAGTAGTTTTTAAGCAAGGTATGTTCCTCCCTGCCTGGCTGGGGGTTGATTGGGGGCGTGTTCCCCCTGCTACTGGGGGTGCCTTGCACTGGGGGAAGAAGGATGTGTGCGTGGGGGGGGGGCAATGCTCCCCCATTCACCTTAAAAGAGGGACCTTCCAGAAGCAGCTGCTTGCTGCTTACTCCCAAGGCATCCATAAGTGCAGCCTTCACTCAATGAGCCCACTTCACTGGTCCCATTGTTCTTATTGTGGCTTCCACCTTTCTGCAAACACTGCAAGTGCCCAGAGGGTTTTCTTTCATGCCTTATCCATTCACACCTCATTCACTCAACAAGACAAACAGTTTAGCAAGGAGGCAGGAGGAGGAAGGGGGGGGCGGGAGTACAAAGTCTACAAGATTTGTATGTAAAAAGGCTTAATACAAAGTTTCTATGTTCTGTAAAAGTATACAAAGTTTTATAAAAGGACATAATATGTTCCACAGTAACAAATTTGGCCTTTTCCCTCAGGTACAAAACACCCTCAGTACGCTTCTGGTATGAACCCACTTACACACACTGTGTGTGCGCGTGTGTGTGCGCGCGCGCGGATTCCCTGCCCACCGTATTCCTGCTAATAGGAGCCAAAGCTGGTGCGGGGATTTCAGTAAAAATTGGCACCATGTGGCCCAGCTCCAGGCCCGGCACGTGGTCTGGAGCCGCGGAAGCAGCTGGGGCCAGGGCTGCTGGGACTTCTGGGGCCCAATCACAGACTCCAGACCCGCCAACTGGAAGACACAAGGTGGGGGAGGGGAAGGGGGAAAAATAGGGGGAAGGGGGGCAGAGAAAGGGGCTTGTGCTGAGGGGAGGGGGGCAGGTCAGGAGAAGAAAGGGGAAGGCACCAAGTTTGGAGGAGAGACAAATGCCGGGGGACAAGTGGAGACAATGAGGAAAAGGGCAGGAGGGGAGGTGTCAGTGGGAGGGGGGACAGGGTGATGCTGGGAGAGGAGAGGGTAAGGGCACTGGGGGCTAAAGGGGAAGGTGCTAGGAGAAGGCTTGAAAGAAGGGGTGGGCATGAGGAAAGCGGGGATGGAGCAAGTCATGTGTGAGGGCACAGGGGCATGTTGAGAGGAATGGGGGCAGAGGGTGGTGAGCTTCAAGGAAAAAGAGGGCAAAGGGGGCAAGAGCAGTGAGAGAAGGGGGAGGCACCAGGAGGGTGCAGGTGCCAGGGAATTCTGGGGGTGAAGCAGAAGGGCAGACCCTGCAGGGGAGGGACCAGCACCAGAGGAGAGAGGCAGGGCAGGTGTGTAGAGGGAGGTGTTAGAAGAGGGGGTAGCTCACATGATCAGAGTGGGGCTACTGGAGGAGTGGGCATAGGGGGGAGAGAAGAGCTGGTGGAGGGGGGCAGGTCTCAGGTAGGCTGAGGGCATGAAGGGCAGGAGTCAGGACAGCAGAAGAGGGTGAGGGGTTGCGGGGCAGCAGGCACCAGGGGAGCTGATGGAGCAAGGGGAGGAGACATGGCAGCAGAGGGAAAAGGCAGGAGGTTTATAAGATATTTATTAACAACTTGGGTGATATTTATTAACAACATATTAGTAATTACTGTTCTTATTCTTATTAGAAATTTATACCATTAAAAAAAACACTTTGGGGGGGAGGGTGGTGAGTCCCTTTTTTGTCTGGCGAGTAGGGTTTTCCACAATTTGTCGAGCCCTACTTATCAGGGATGGGATAGATCAGAACTACTCAGGTTGACAAAGCCCTTGCTGGGTTGATTTAGTTGGGATTAGTCCTGCCTAGAGCATGGGGCTGAACTTGATGACCCTCTGAGGTCTTTTCCAGCTCTATGATTCTAGGATTCTAACTCGTAGCCCATGGGCTGCATGCAGCCCACTGCCCGTTTCTTTGCAGCCCCGCGGTGCAGTCTGGATTTATGTGGGGCTTAACTCACGGCCCGTGGGTGAGAGCCAAAGTAAAAAAGTAGTCAATATAATGGTCGTGTGTTTATATATATTTTAGTAGTTAAATTCCTGGACTGTCATTGCTTGTTAAAAGTTGTAATATGGGTAGAAATTGGGTAAATATTGCATTTTATTAATATCACCAGAATGGACTTAAATGGGGCCTGTGTGTTGTGTAGTCTTGCCTTAATCTTTGTATTCATGCCTGTCAGTGAGAAAGAAGCTATTTGTATATATATATATTTGCATGTATATGCAAACACACTTAAGTTGTGGCCATCAGCATGTGCTGTGAGTATCATTGTGGCCCCCACAACTTCTAAAGTTGAGAAGCCCTGGTATAGATTAATTTAGTTCTACCTCAGCAACGGGGGGCTGGACTTGACTGCCTGCTAACTCCAGCCTTGCATTTTTATGATTCTATGAAAATTACTCATGAAAACTAACATACCTCTGCTTAATTTTCATGTTCTTGAGCAGTATTAGCGAAAAAGCTTTACCTAATGTCTTGTAACTGCATTTGCTTAGCTGTTCTCAAGTTTACCAGCATTTGAATCAGATTCCTAATAAGTTAATGGGGCATTTTCAGAGAAGTGCATAGTGGTTTAGCCATCCTGTTAAAGATGGTGAAAATTGCAAGGTAAAATCTGACAGCATTTTGAAAGCTCACACTTACCGCTCAGCTTATGAATTAGATTCTCTTTAGCTAATTCAATAAGCCCCAAAGTACTAAATGCTGTAACTATTTTCTGCATAACAAAATAATATTTTAAATGCCAATATTTTCTTTCATTACACTGTCTTTCTCCTCATGGAGCTGCTGTGAACACGATAAACTTCCATTAAGTGGATCAGTTTATACAAGCTCTTGTATGAACATAGTCTGATAATTAAGGGGCCTTCAAGATTAGCCATTTATACAGAAGCATTTTACATTATTCAGGTGGATGAGAAGCAAACGCACTCTTACTTTTGCATTTCAGACCATTTTAGTAAAAATCGCTGAATTCACAATTCAAATATGTGACTCAATTCTTCATCTCACTCTCCCAAAGTTAGTTTCTAATAATCAGAGGTTATTAAAAAAGTAATGCCAATTATTTTGTATTACTTCTTCAGTCAGGTTAAATATATTTTTAAACAAGTAAATACCACCTTACTCATTTAAAAAAAAAAATCAATGTTAATAAGCTCTCTCATTATCCATTTATGCTGTTTACTTTTCGTACTTCAATTTGAACAAAAACTAGGTCAATGGGTTTCATTTTCTAGTTTTCAAACACTAGACAACACAGCAATATTTTGGCTGCAAACAGCAAAGGGGAACATTGAAAGTGTATACTGGCATTTTCTAATAGCAAAAAGCATTTCATTCAATGTGATCAGCAGTACAAAATGGCTGAAAGATAGAATTTGCCAGCCACAGGAATAGCATCCCAGTGTCACAGAAGTCCTCTGCTAACCCACTTCCCAGGGCCAATTTCCATGTGCTCCTATACATGCCAGCTGTTCTAACAGCCCCTTGGGCCACTGACAGGTGGCAAAAACATATGCTAGTGGACTAACTCACCATACTGCCAGCCTGGGATTAGGGGAATACAAAAATTGCTTAATATCACCTTTCCACACAAGCCATCCTAAGGCTTGCAGCAAGCTCCTTGGCCACAGCTGAGGATCTGGGGCATAAAGTTTATTTTCCTACTATGTCCTTTTCTCTTTTAAAGGCATAACTACATTAATTTTGTTTTTGTATATCAGTAATATCTACCATCTGAATTTCTTTGAGCCTGGTTTGTTACTTAAGCGCAGAAGCACCAAGAGGGCACATTTAGATGCTATTTCTTCCAAAACCTACAGAATAGCATTTTAAAATTGGTGACAGTGTATTTCTCATCATTGTGTGTGTGTGTGTATTTATCTCACACACACACACACACACACACACACACACACACACACACGCTGGAGTTACCCAGTGTTGCTCAGGACAGTTGATTTAACTGAGGTGAGGAGCCTGAGGGGAGGGAGGGGGAAGGGAGCCACGCACCCGCCACCAGCGCCCGAGCCCGCCCTCCGCCGGCCTTAGTGAGTGACTGTCCCTGCTGCTTCCCCTGGGAAACTGCTTCTCCCGGCACTGCCAAGCTCTGTGCAGCCCCAGGGAGAGGCATCGGTCTCTCATCTCTTCCCTCCCACAGTCCCTTAAAACCTTCTCCTGGATAAAAGGTTATCCCATGCAAAGTTTGGTTGCGGTAGCTTATAGTGTCCAAGTTATTAGCGCGCGCGCGCACGCACACGCACACACGTACCATTATAGAGTACATTACTTTTGGTAAACATACATTTTGACAGTATCCCTTTAGGATAAATGCTCAGTGGAATGTTGGTCAGAAATTCAGCCTCATATCAGCTCCCCAGATAAATTTCAGAGAGGTATTTCATATTTAAATTAAAGTGTTCAAGTGTTACGAATGTCGTTTCATTTGCAATAAATTCTCAAAGCAGATGTGTTAAATAAAATTGTTTTCAATGCCAAACATTTTATTAATACAAAACACCTCCGCAACTATTTCTATAAGCATTTCCTCTTCGTTTAAGCATTGCAAAGTAGAATGCAGTCATTCTACCTACCATCAACAGATAAGTGAGCATGCCTCGCAAATGCTTTGTCTATTTCTAGAAAAGCCTTGGTCAACACGGTTTCCAAATTCTTCTCCTGAGCAAGGAATTCTCTAAAAACAAAATGAAGACAAGGGTTCAACTTCTTCCACAAAGACACCACTCCTGCCACAGCAGTTCCCACAGGTTTGTCTCCCCACTACAAAAGCTGAATCATGTATTATCATCCTTCTGGGGTAACGAGAAGCCATTAGCGTGCTGCCTTGGCCTTTGGATATAAGGGAATTTGACCCCCCAGGATTGGTGGTTTTTAATTGTTGTATAACTCTGTTTTATAAAGAAAGAATGCAGCCTTCGTTTAAGCTACCTTAATTATGCAAATGGAGTGCTACAAGTGGTAAGCACTGCAACTTGTAACTCCCACATGCTTTTGGGTAGATCCAAACCTGAAGGATGCTGAGCACCTTCAATTTCACAACGAATTCAATGGGTTTGGATAGACTGGGTCTGGAGAGTAAAATACCATCCTCCCCAGTGAAGAGAATACACATAAGGACTACAACCACTTACGCCTTGTGCTGTCCCTTTGCACAGAGGAAGTTTCAGCTTAGGAGACTAGAAGAGGGCAGCACTAACTACCCTCTAACTCAGCTGATAAGTCATGAGCTGACTTCATTACATTTGTTAGTCTCTAAGGTGCCACAGGACTAATTTTTAATGTTAGACTAATATGGCTACCCCTCTGACACTGATAATTACTAGGAGTTTTTATAGAACCTGACTTTTCTATACTTCAGAAGGGTAAAAAACAAATGGTTCATCATGGCAACGTCTAATCCCAGACACCATTCTGGCACCAGGGAATCCTTCCAAACTCCAGAAACAAGAGGTGAATAGTGTGACAGAAGTGCCAGAATGTTTTATATTTCTATGTTCAAAATTACTCTGTATGATGGTTGGCAACTCACTTAGTCTCTCTGTGCTGCAGCCTTGAACTACTGGGCGCTAACGGTAATGCAAATAATAAATCAAACCCTAGCTTACGTACTGAATGTACTTTTCCATGTACTTATCACAGAAATCAGCTGCTGCAGCCCCACCATGCCCATCATACACTGCAAAATACAGGACATCATCTGTCAGCTGAGCGTAATCAAACCGGTCCTCGTTTTCCTTCCGCTTTCCAATCTGAGTCGCACAGCCCACGTTGGCCAGACTGATTTTGGGAATTGGTTTCCCATACTTTATGCTTGTTGGGAGGAGTATGGGCTCATCGATGCGATTGTCCCAGATACCGAAGGTGTCCCATGTGGCTGGACGCCCACTGCCGTCTGGATCGAAGCGGGAAGCCCTGCGTTCTGTGGTGGAGCTCTGGCACACAGCAGTCCAGCGTTTGTCGTCTTGCAAGAGGCGGGAGGTCAGTAGTGCTCTTCCTCTCACTTGATACCCTCCATATCTAACCAAATTAATTAAAGCAGCTGTTGACATAACTTGATTCCACGACACTTTGTAGTGAATGAAAGATCAATATACAACTTCTGGAATGGCTTCAAGGACAATGTGAGAACTGGTCAGGAAACAAGAAATACAGAGAGGGGAAATTCAAGTTATACCGTCCAGAAAACATTTTCACCATCAGAGATCATTATAGAATCATAGAAGAATAGGACTGGAAGGGACCTCAAGAGGTCATCGAGTCCAGCCCCCCGCCCTCAAGGCAGGACCAAGCTCTGTCTACACCATCCCTGACAGATGTCTATCTAACCTGTTCTTAAATATCTCCAGAGAGGGAGATTCCACCACCTCCCTTGGCAATTTATTCCAATATTTGACCACCCTGACAGTTAGGAATTTTTTCCTAATGTCCAATCTAAACCTCCCCTGCTGCACTTTAAGCCCATTACTCCTTGTCCTGTCCTCAGAAACCAAGAGAAACAAATTTTCTCCTTCCTCCTTGTGACACCCTTTTAGATATTTGAAAACCACTATCATGTCCCCCCTTAATCTTCGTTTTTCCAAACTAAACAAGCCCAGTTCACGAAGCCTGGCTTCATAGGTCATGTTCTCTAAACCTTTAATCATTCTTGTCACTCTTCTCTGTACCCTTTCCAATTTCTCCACATCTTTCTTGAAATGTGGCGCCCAGAACTGGACACAGTACTCCAGCTGAGGCCTAACTAGTGCAGAATAGAGCGGCAGAATGACTTCACGAGTTTTGCTTACAACACACCTGTTAATACAACCTAGAATCATATTTGCTTTTTTGGCAACAGCATCACACTGTTGACTCATATTCAACTTGTGGTCCACTATGACCCCTAGATCCCTTTCCGCCATGCTCCTTCCTAGACAGTCGCTTCCCATCTTGTATGTATGGAACTGATTGTTCCTTCCTAAGTGGAGCACTCTGCATTTCTCCTTATTAAACCTCATCCTGTTTACCTCTGACCATTTCTCTAACTTGCTAAGGTCATTTTGAATTATGTCCCTATCCTCCAAAGAAGTTGCAACCCCACCCAGTTTGGTATCATCTGCAAACTTAATAAGAGTACTCTCTATCCCAATATCTACATCATTGATGAAGATATTGAACAGTACGGGTCCCAAAACAGACCCTTGAGGAACTCCACTTGTTATCCCTTTCCAGCAGGATTTAGAACCGTTAACAACAACTCTCTGACTACGGTTATCCAGCCAATTATGCACCCACCTTATCGTGGCCCTATCTAAGTTATATTTGCCTAGTTTATCAATAAGAATATCATGCGAGACCGTATCAAATGCCTTACTAAAGTCTAGGTATATGACATCCACCGCTTCTCCCTTATCCACAAGGCTCGTTATCCTATCAAAGAAAGCTATCAGATTAGTTTGGCATGACTTGTTCTTCACAAACCCATGCTGGCTATTCCCTATCACTTTATTACCTTCCAAGTGTTTGCATATGATTTCCTTAATTACCTGCTCCATTATCTTCCCTGGGACAGACGTTAAACTGACCGGTCTATAATTTCCTGGGTTGTTCTTATTCCCCTTTTTATAGATGGGCACAATATTTGCCCTTTTCCAGTCTTCTGGAATCTCCCCTGTCTGCCATGATTTTTCAAAGATCATAGCTAAAGGCTCAGATACCTCCTCTATCAGCTCCTTGAGTATCCTGGGATGCATTTCATCAGGACCTGGTGACTTGCTGACATCTAACTTTCCTAAGTGATTTTTAACTTGTTCTTTGTGTATCCTATCTTCTAAACTTACCCTCTCTCTGCTTGTATTCACTATGTTAGGCACACCTCCAGACTTCTCGGTGAAGACCAAAACAAAGAAGTCATTGAGCATCTCTGCCATTTCCAAGTTTCCTGTTAACAGTGGTTTGTACTGCTAAAAGCAGCTAGACAGATCCATCCACAAGATTCACCAAGAAATAATCTTACTCAGAGACTAGCCCATAGATTTTTTTTATGGAACTATGTTTTTGAATATGCACAATTTGAATACGCCTTATGCAAATAAGGGCATATAACCTATCCACTGAATGAATATGTATATTCAATTTATATGCATGCATCATTTCTGTATTTAAAATTAGAAATATGAAGTATAAACCTGTTTATTAATCTAAGTGTGCCAGGGAAAGCCATTAGCAGTACTCAAGTAACTTAATTGCCCCAGAACTCAAGACAATGATCCATGATTAGTACTTGTATTTCCTGTGAACCTAGTCCTACAAGGACATGTGACCATGTCACCTGATGCTGGAACCCATTTTGAATATAGTACTTCTCCAAGAGGGTGGGGAAAAAAAAAAAAAAAATCTATTTATAGCCAAGGAACCAGACAAATAGGGGAATTGGCAGTTGGGAGATACCTCCTGCTTACCACCAAGATGACCTCTGGAAACATCTAAGACTGACTGGGGGGGGGGCGAGGGGGGAAGGGAGCCCAAGCTAGGAGGCTGCCTAGCTTGTGAGAAAAGATCATTAAAACTATTGTTAGGGCAAGAAATTATATACAATAAGGTTTTTAAGAGTATTACACTAAGCTGGTGTGTTGTTTTATTTAGCTTAGTAATTTACTTTGATCTGTTTGTTATTACTTGCAACCACTACTTTTTATACTTAATAAAATCAAATTTATTTATGATTAAACACAGTGTAAATAATTGTTACCTGGGAAGGAACAACAGCTGGGCATCTCTCTTTCATTGATAAAGCAGGTGAATTTTACGCAAAGCAAGATAAATTTATCTGGGATTTTGATCCCATGGGGGCTGTGCACCTGGGTACTGTGTCAGGTCCCTGTGACTATGCCTTCCCAGAGCTAATCTACTTCAGTATCTCTGTCACTCATTTGTGGGCTGTGACGCCCAACTCTGTGCCAGTGGTAAGGGAGACCAGAGCTTCTGGCTCACCAGGACAGGGTGGTGGAGTGCTGCAGAGGGCAGGTAAGTGGACTCAATGGTATGACTAGCCCATCTAATGACAATCTCTAGAGGACTCTGTCACCTAACCCATCACATGGAGTTCAAATATACAGTACTGCAAACAGACCAAAACAAGGCATTGGATGATCATTTCTGCTGATCATTTGGCTGCTGACTAAAATTTCTAACAGTTTAACAGTAGTAATAAAATGAACGTTAGTGACAATGACTTATGGTTTTCTCTGAGCAACCAAACTATTAACAACTCACACTGTAATGTGAGGGCAGACTATTATAAATTACCTTAAGAACATAAGAACGGCCGTACTGGGTCAGACCAAAGGTCCATCTAGCCCAGTATCCTGTCTGCCGACAGCGGCCAATGTCAGATGTCCCAGAGGGAATGAATGGAACAGGGAATCATCAAGCAATCCCTCTCCCATCACCCATTCCCAGCCTCTAGCCTCTGTCAGACACACCATTCCAACTAATAGCCATTGATGGACCTAACCTCCATGAATGTATCTAGTTCTTTCTTCAACCCTGTTAAAGTCCTGGTCTTCACAACTTTCTCTGGCAAGGAGTTCCACAGGCTGACCATGCACTGTATGAAGAAAAAACAACAACAAAAACTTCCTTTGGTCTCTTTTAAACCTGCTACCTATTAATTTCATTGGTGACCCCTCAATCTCGGGTTATAGGAACAAGTAAATAATTTTTCCTTATTCATTTTTTCCATACCAGTCATGATTTTACAGACCTGTCACATCCTCCCTTAGTCTCCTCTTTTCTAAGCTGAGAAGTCCCAGTCTTTTTAATGTCTCTTCATATGCAACCCGTTCCAAACCTCTAATCAGTTTTGTCGCCCTTTTCTAAACCTTTTGCAATGCTAATTTTTTTTTTTTTTTTTTTTAAGATGAGGCAACCACATCTATATGCAGTATTCAAGATGTGGGCGTACCATGGTTTTATATAGAGGCAATAAGATATTCTCGGTCTTACTCTATCCGTTTAATGATTCTTAATATTCTGTTTGTTTTTTTGACTGCTGCTGCACATTTACTTATTCCCACAATATAAGAACTAGGGGCAGGGGCAGATGACTGTTTTGCGGGGCCCCGGGCAGCGTAACTCCGCGGGGCCCCCCCTTTGCCACGGCGCATGCGCGGGGCTTTTTTAAGCGTGGGGCCCGGGGCGGCCGCCCCGTTCGCCCTGCCCTATATCTGCCCCTGACTAGGGGGCACCAAATGAAATTAATAGGCAGCAGATTTAAAACAAACAAAAGGAAGTTTTTCTTCACTTAGAGTACAGTCAATTTCTGGAACTCCTTGCCAGAGGACATGGTGAAGACTAGGACTAACAGGGTTCAAAAAAAGAGTTAGATAGATTCATGGAGGTTATTAGCCAGGCTATTAGCCAGGATGAATAGGAATGGTGTCCCTAGCCTGTTTCTCTGGAGGTGGGTGACAAGGATCACGTGAGGATTACCTGTTGTGTTCCCTCCCTCTGGGGCATCTGGCATTGGCCACTGTCAGCAGACAGGATACTGTGCAGGCAGACCGTTGGTCTGACCCAGTATGGCTGTTCTTATGTTCTCTAACTATCCACAATGACTCCAAGATCTCTCTCTTGAGTAGCTGTAGCTAAATTAGCCCATCATGTTGTATATATAGTTGGGTTTATTTTTGCCAATGTGTATTACTTTACATTTATCAACATTAAATTTCTTTTGCAACTTTGTTGCCAAATCACTTAATTTGATGAGAGCTTTTTCAAACTCTTCACAGTCTGCTTTGGTCTTAATTATCTTGAGCAGTTTAGTATCATCTGCAAATTTTGCCACCTCACTATTTACCCTTTTCTCCAGATAATTTTTAAATAAGTTGAATAGGATTGGTCCCAGTACAGACCCTTATTTCTTCGAGTGATGTCTCTGTGGATGCTCCACTGTTTGTCTGTTGGTGACAGGTCACCCGGAGCTGCAGATCAGAGCCTTGTAAAGCAGTTTACCCAGTTGGGCTGTGCATGAACAGGACATCTCACAGCGTATGTATCTGCCTGAGCGTCCGGCGCACGCAGCCAGACGCCGCCTCTTCGATTCCTCTAACTGCCCTCGGTTGTGGACAGAGCTTCAACTGCTGTCTCAACTACCCATACGCAGTCTAGACACAGCCAAGTGGTGTGGAGAGAATGAATAAGGAAAAGTTATTTACTTGTTCCCATAATATATGAACTAGGGGCCACCAAATGAAACCAATGGGCAGCAGGTTTAAAACAAATAAAAGGAAGTTCTTCTTCACACAGCGCAGTCAATCTGTGGAACTCCTTGCTTGAGGAGGTTGTGAAGGCTAGGACTAGAACAGGATTTTAAAAAGAATCAGATAAATTCATGGCGGTTAAGTCCATTAATGGCTATTAGCCAGTATGGGTAAGGAATGGTGTCCCAACCTCTGTTTGTCACAGAGTGGAGCTGGATGGCAGGAGAGAGATCGCTTGATCATTGCCTGTTCAGTTCACTCCCTCTGGGGCACTTGGCATTGGCCACTGTCGGCAGACAGGGTACTGAGCTGGATGGACCTTTGGTCTGACCCAGTCTGGCTGTTCTTATGTTAGTACAAGATCCTGCCTTTCGGCACCTCGAATATTTTTGAAAGTGCTAGCTGTAACCACAGCATATCTACAACAACATCTAATCAATTTTTCATACCTCGACAACTGCTGATAAAAGGAAGGTCACACAAGGAAACTAACTCCATGATAAACAAGACCAAAGCCCTCTTCAGTCGCCTCAGCCTTCTCATCAACGAACAAAAATCAACTCTACAACCTGCTCAAAGCATAGAGTTCTTTGGCACTCACCTCAACTCAAGTCTGAGCCTGGGCATACTTACCACAACAACGATTCACAGCTATTCAAGATCTTATAAGTATCCTATCCATGAGCCCTTCTACCATGATACTTACCTGCCTGCGGTTGATGGGTCATATAGCTGCAACTATTTATGTGGTCCAACATGTCCACTTACATTTCCGATGCTTTCAACTCTGGATAGCATCCGTCTACACCTCATCTCGCCATCCACTACACAAAAGATTTACTATACCGCCATACGTTCTTCTCTCTTTATGTTGGTGGATGTCTGTTTCTCCTAGATACAGAGGCAGCTCCCTGCCAGCGGCCTGCCAGCAAGCAGGGCAGCTTCATAGGTTGCATTTCTGCAGGGCATCCCAGACTGCCTCTTCCCTGCTCCACCTTCCTTTCAGCAGGTACGCCAGGCCAGTTAGCAACAACGGGGCCTGCTCCAGTTGCACCACTGACAGAAGTGACAAGCGGTTAGAGGGAGGTGCTGGGAGAATGCTTGAAAGAAGGGGTGGGCATGAGGGGGTGAGAATGGAGCAAGGCATGTGTGAGGGCACAGGGGCATGAGGGGAGCAGAGGCAGAGAGTGGTGAGAGGGTGGGCATCAGGGAAAAAGAGGGCAATGGGGACAGGGGTAGTGAGGGAAGGGGGAGGAACCAGGGGGGTGCAGGTGCCAGGGGATTCTGGGGATGAAGCAGAAGGGCAGACACCTGCAGGGGAGGGACCAGCACCAGAGGCAGGCAGGTGTGTAGAGGGAGGTGTTAGGAGAGGGGATGAGGAGGGGTAGCTCACTTGATCAGAGTGGGGCTACTG